GATGTCTCTGTTCCACAGCATTCTGCATTCTCCCTCTAAGTAATAATTTGCTTTTCGACTTCGCAAAGTGGTCAATCTCCTATTTTCCCACATCTGCCAAATTGTCATCCACTTACCTAGCCTACCTTTATCACTTATCCTCCTCACAATTTGCTTTCCTCCTTTCTTTGTATCTATCTGCAACAGAGTTCGCCCTCATCCGAGTCAGTATTTAATATTTTAAGCAATTTTTAAACAATGCTGATTGTTGTTTACTAACCTGAAAAAATAATTCATTTATCCTGCCCCCATTTCCTGAATCTCTAATTCAGTTTGGGTCTCCCATGTTAGATGATGACACAGAGGAATTAGCTAAAACTCTCTCCGTGCTGAAATATTACTCCCAACACAAGGAGTTCTTACTTTCTGCTCCAACCACTTGTGTGATGCGCTATCAAATTCCTTTTGGAAATCCAAATACACTGCATCTACTGACTCCCCTTTATCCACCTTGCTTTTACATCCTCAAAGAGCAACAATAAATTTGTCGAACATGATTCCTCTGTCACAAAAACCATATTGATTTTGCTTGACTGTGTTGTGATTTTCTAAATGTCCAGCTATTAGGTACTTAATAATTGCTTCCAGCATGTTCCCCTTGACCGATGTAGGTTTAATTGATCTATAGTTTCCTGCTTTCACTCTCCCTCCTTTTTTTCAATACCAAGGTTACGTTCATGATTTTCCAATCTGCTGGGACTTCCTAGAGGCTAGGGAAGATTACAACCAATGTATCCTATATCCCTACAGCCACTTCCTCTAAAGCCAGAGGAATGGGTCAACAGATGCAGGAGACAGATCAACCTTTAGACCCATTTGTTTTCTCATGACCTTTTCCCAAGTGATCGTAATTGTTTTAAGATCCTCCATTCTTTGTACCCCAATTTTCTAACATTCCTCAGATACTTTTGTGCCACAGTCTCACATTCTCAGGGACCAATTCACACTTCTATTTTTTTTTCCATTTCCTATACTTGCAGAAACTTTTATTCCAATTTTTTATATTACCTGCTAATTTTGCTTCATACTCTAGTTTTTCCCTTTCTTGGGCATCTTTTACTGGTTTCTACAGTTTCCCCTACCTTTAGCCCCATGACTAGCCTTTGCAGCATTGTAAATCTTTCTTTTCAATTCAATATACTCCTTAACTTCCTTAGTTAGACACTTTCACACATTCTTTCTTTCTCAATGGAATTTTTGTTGTGATAGATGATATATCTCCTTAAATGTCTGCCACTCTGCATCATCTGATCTTTTTTCCTATTTTCCTGATGGCATGGTGGCTCAATGGTTAGCCCTGCTGCCTCACAGCGTCAGGGACCTGGGTTCAATTCCAGCCTCAGCCAACAGCCTGCATGGAGTTTGCTCATTTTCCCCCTGTCTGCGTGGGTTTCCTCCCACAGTCCAAAGATGTGCAGGTTAGGTGGATTGGCTATGCTAAGTTGCCGATAGTGTCCAGGGATATGTATACTAAGTGGATTAGCCATGGGAAATGCAGGGTTAGAGGCATAGGGTGGCGGGGTGGGGATGGAGTGTATGTCTGTGTGGGATGCTTTTCAGAGGGTCGATGTGCACTTGATGGGCTTTTTTCCACACTATAGTGACTCTAGGATTCTAAATATCCATTCTACATCAACCAATTCTATCTTCATAACCTTTAAAATTATTAAAGACCAGTTTCAGACCTCCAAGTGAATGTGACATTCTAACATTTTATGATCACTCTGAATTAAAAGGATTCCTTTCTCTGAGTTCATTAATTAATTCCTGTCTCCTTACAAAAAGCATTCAAATTTAAAGTAGCGTATCCCCTGGTTGGATTCAGAATGTATTTATTGTTTGTTAGAGACTGTCTGGTTTAAAACTTAAAAAAAACCTGGCAGCTAACTGTCTATCAGCATTATTGGGTTTTTCTGCCAATCAGAATCCACTTGCCAATGAATCACTGTTCTTCTTCTGTCGTATAAATGTCAGTTTACCCCTTGAATTGGCATTCTTGTGAATTGTCCTGATGAGTGCAAGATGAAAGTCTCAACAAACTGTGTCCTTTTCTCAGTAGTGTTGAAGTTCTGTACAACCAAACAGCAACTTGCATTGTTATTTTTGGATACAATCCTAAATTTTATGGATCATTTTCCTGGTTTCTTTTGTCAATTTGATTTGTTCAATCTATATAAAGAGTAAAGTCCCTCATGACTACTTTAGTACCTTTCTTACATACTCCCATTATTTATTGATTTATATTCTGACCTACAGAGTAGGTACTATCAAGGGCCTATAAATGACTCCTACCAATGGCTTATTTCCTTTCCTTTTTCTTATCTCCACTCAAACTGATTCCACATTTTGATCCTCTGAATCCAGACCATTTCTCATTCCTGCACTGATTGACTCCTTTATTAACAGAGCTACACCACCACATTTCCTTTCTTCCTGAATGTCAAATTCCCTTCAATATTTATGTCCCATCCATGATCACATTGCAGCCGTGTCTCAGTTATGTTTATCCTATCATTAAGACTGTCAACAATTTCATGGTGTTGTTTTGAAAAAGATACTTTATAGTGTCTTAGAGGATATTTATTCCTCAATCAGCGTTTCTGGAACAAAAAAACATGATCTAGTCTCATATTTCATTGCAGCTTTTGTGGAGCCTCATTGCATACCAAATGCTGCCTGCTTCCTATATTGCCACATCCATTGTATTTCAGAAAGTATTTGATTTCTGCAGTGTGCTTTAAGATGTCTTGAGGCCATGGATGGTATTATATAACTACAGCCTTTCTTTCAAACTTATTTCCTAATGCCCTCTCCTGTGCCTTTTCTTGCTGATCTTTTCTAGGAATCATCATTGAGTTCACTAAATTGAAAGTGATCTGGCCTTGCAATAAATTCCAGATTAGTGTCCAGACTGTTTGACAAAAGCATTAGTCCACATATCGGAAAGATCTACATTAGGGTAGGTGTTTTATAGCATTGTTTCTGGGATAAGTTAGGCTGCAATGAAAAGATTTATACTGAGAATAATGGCTGACTGACAGTGATCATGCTAGCAAGGCTCTAATCTGATCAAATCATTTAGATGATGATGTTGTAAGCAACCTTTACCTGACCCCAACCTCCAAAATAAAATTACAGATTGACATTGCTGCAGGATATTATTTTCATATGATTTGTACGGCAAAGTTCAGTGCACAGCATGTGCAGGATAAATTCATTCTAATTTACCAGGCAGCTGCTTAAACAGGGCATGCTGTTGTCTGCTGTACTCCTTTTTGCTTGCAGTGATATCCAAACAGAACCATTAATGTCTGTGGTTCGATCACCACAGCATTATTAAATTCCGTTTGCAATTATAATGGGCAAACCATCAAAGGGCTGATTTTCCTCTCGCTCCTTTTAAGTATTTGGCTGCATACTGCGCACAAAGGATCAATTGGTTACAAACAGAGCTTCCCAGTTTATTGCTTTCCACCAGAAAGGGGAAGTTCTGCTCGAAACATGCACTGAATACGTAGCCAGCTCTTTTGGCATTCCTTCGCTTGGCTGCTTTAATCCAGGTGTAAATCTGTTTGCTTGAAATGGGTTTGCATTTGGATTAAAATAGTGGATTGAAGAATGTCACCTGTTGACTTTAAACAGACATGTGCAGCATTTTTTGTTATTGTCCCAGCCAGCACTTGAGGTATGTGAGGAAGATTTGCCTCCGAAACCCCTAAACTACCCAGTGAAATCCACTCATGGGGACACCCAATCAAAATAAACTCATGTCGTGAATTCATCCAATCACCAGCTGGCCCTTTCCCACATTTGCTGCTGATAGGCTCACTTTGTTTGGAGGAGTGAGGGGACGAGCAGCTATCAGCAGGAGTGGGAATGAGGAATAAGACCCCAGATGAAATGAGGACTGGTGAGTGAGGCCAGGGACCCAGAGAGGAGAGCTGTGGAGAAAGACTGAAGGGCTGGGGAGTTGCAGAGTGGACAGAGAGGAGCTAGGAGTCAGGAGGCTGGGATGAGGTCTTGAGGGGTTGAGGGGTTGGGGGGATGGGGGGAGGGTTGCGGAAGAGAGGAGCTGGGGAAGGCAGGAGAGTTTTTCCAACCAAGAAATAGACACCTAACCAGGAAGAGGAAAATTGAGGAAAATAATCTATTGCAAATTAATGTGGAATCTCTGGATAAAAACTGCAGCAATTCAGGAAACATATTGTGAGGGGTGGAAAATGTAATTAACACAATTGTAATAAACACTTTGTTACATGTATAATTTAATATTGAGCAGTTTTATTTCCTAAACGTTTGCATTTATTTGTTATCACATCACAAAGCATCTTACAAAATTATGAATCAATTGATATGCATTGGCTGTGTTAGATACAAATGTGCAATGTTTAGCTATGACCTCACCAGCCTGTAGAATGAGTGTTCAGGGTGATGGCTTTTTGTGTATAGAAGTGTATCATTTATTTTTAGAAAAGCATTTGTTTCTAACTTATGCTAGTTGTTGTGTACTGATTTAAATACCGTGGTATCTGGGAAGTAATGCTTTCTTTGGCTGGTGTTGCTTTATGCTGAATGGAATGGTGATGACTCTTGGGAACACTGATTAACTTCCATCATTGTACTTCTGTGAGAGTCCAAATCCCCACGTATATTAACATGAATATAGAAGGGATCATTGAAAGTAACTGCATCACCTAATGATGGAGTTAGTGAGATTGAGAAGGACCCCCAGGAAACCAAATGAAAAGCCCCTAAAGATCAAAAGGAGCACTCAAGAAATATCAAGATGAGGATTTGAAAAAGAAAATATTATTGTGAGCCCAGGTTCTAATCTAAATTTGTAAGATCTATGTGACTGTTAGTCGCAGCACTGACTGATGTCTGTATCAGTGACAGTGGAATATGTGTGAAATTGACAGTCATTTTCTTGTTGTTAAGCATTTTTTTTGTTGTTCTTTCAGATCCTGTCGCACTCTGAATGGGATCATAAGCGTGGCTACAGAGGATCACAGGTAGTATCCATAACAAATTATGCATAAAGAGAAGAAATGTTGCAAACTACTTTTGCTTCCAGTTCATTCTGTTGGAACAAATAATTCAGAAATAAGCCTACCTTTGAGGGCAATTTTTATTTTATTTTCTAGTTGTGCTAACTTTTCATGTTGCAATATGTTTGTTCTTCTTTCATGTTGGTGCCTTGGCTGAGTCTTAAATGATATAGCAATATAACACATGGTCATTTGTAGGAGTGCTGCTCTAATCAAATCAGTAATAGGCATGAAATAAATTGTTGCTTCCTCAAAATTGTAATATGTGGAGAGTTTTTCTTGTTTTGTTTCGTTTGCCTACTGAATGATGCAACAAGCCCCTTAAGTTATCTTCTTACTCCTATCTCATCCAAGCTCTTGATGTATTGGGAAAAGATGGAATATGACTTGAGAAATGGTAGCCAGTAGACTCCAAACTGTTGTTCAAACTGTCAAATTCTGCTCTAGATTAATGCTTTACCAATGATTTGCAAGAGTTGGTAGCACTGTTAATTATTTGGAGCATTTTTTAAAAATGGGATGTCTCTCTTATATTAAAAATCCTCAAGAATGACCGCAATGAATGTTTTAGAACTTTCTTCTGTGAATTTCATTTGGGTTAGAGAGATGATCATGGAACTTTGCTATAATTGTGTTATGCGGGGTTGCAACTGTTATTTAGAATTGAGGAGTGATCTGATATTTACTGCCCCATCTCGCACGTCACTCTGTGTTTACTAAATTGTTGCTCCCATCTGAATTCAAGCATATGAAGAAGCTTTGTTTCAATATCTCAGCTCTGAGAAATGTTTCATCATGTAAAGGTGTAACCAATACTTGACAGTAGACTGGTTCCGTATTCTGTCCCTGTCACTTCAGTCACAATTATGCCAGCTCTTACCTCCCTACTGATGGTACAAAAGGTATGCAAATGTTTGACTCTCAAATAAAGTTATTTCTCCTCTCTCTTTTGGCCTCAGAAAAAGTCAGTTTAATATGCCAGCAAGTATAACTACTGATTGTCCAAAACAATATAAACTCTCAGCAAATGAATTCCAATTGTCCTTCGCTGCTTTATCGAGACGAGCCATGCACGTATCTAAATGTTGTCTGATAGAGAACCTGGAAACTGAACCAAATATTGCAATTCTGATCTAACCATCATCAAATCTGTGAACTTCACCATCCTGAAGAATAAAAGCTGCAGGGTCATGACAACACCATTACCTGCAGGTTCTCTTCCAAGTCCATTGTAATGATTTGGACATATATCTCTGTTCCCTCATTGTCATGGAACTTCCTATCTGACAGCATTGAGGGGCCATCTTCGCCAGTAGCTCAAAAAGGTGGCTTACTACTACCTACTTTAGGTATGGGCAATAAATGTTGTGCTGGCAAGTGATGCCCACATCCCATTAATTTTTTTTTTTAAGTTTTTGGTTCTGAGGTGATGTGGAGGTGTGGTGTTGGACTGGGATGGACAAAGCCAGATGTCACACAACACCAGGTTATCGCCCAAAAGGTTTACTTGAAATCACAAGCTTCCAGAACATTGCTCCTTCATCAGGTGAAGTCACCGAAAGCTTGTGATTTCAAATAAACCTGTTGGACTATAGCCTGGTGTGGTGTGATGTCTGACTTTATTCTGAGGTGGTAAACACATCATCATGTTTAAAATAAATAATGGTATCTATGCTGTTGGAACAGCAGTTCCCAAGTTCACCTGTGCCCCCACACAGCAACAGTAACGGTCCAAGTTTTCTAAGGTAGAACACTGCCATCACTTCATAAGTTAATCAAGTAAAGCTGTGTACAACTGTCCATTAAATGTGTGTTTACCACATCTGTGATTTGGAGGTTGACTAGACAGCTATCCTGCACTAGAGACAATTATTACGAGTGAGACTGCGACAAATGAGCAGTTTTGCTGAGAAGGGACCACTTTGAGACTGTGTTGCTGCCACTGGTCGTCTTTTCTAATCAACCTGTTCAGAAATGTTGTTACACACCTCTGGAGCAGGCGGGACTTGAACAATGGCCTCCTGGCTCAGAAGTAGATCCTTGTCTCTAACCTTTTAAGCAAAACTACAATCGGGTTAGTTAGCCCTGACGTCCTCTTTTCTATGTTGAGTCTAAGGGCCTACACAATTAGCAATGGTAGATAACAAACCATTATTGATATATAACAAAAAGGGGCACTTACCTGTAATTTACTGAATGGAAGCAATAGATAGAAGTTACCTTGGCTAGTTAGGCATAATTATAAAGACTATCATGACATGTCTGTCTCCATTGAGACCTCATGCTAAGACTGCTTCTCCTGAAGCCCATATCTTGTGTAACATCATCAGTTTTGTGTGGAGTTTGATGAATGGAACTGTAACAAAACACCTTGACTTTTATATTCCATTCTCCTTGGAATAAACCACAGCATTGCATTTGCTTTTTTAACCAGTTGTTCTGCCTGCGTACTAACATTGTCATAGCTGACTGCATTCTTGCAAATCACTGTGTAACATTGCCTGTCTAACTGGAACTATAAAGGCTCCCCATTTATTAACCAAACTTTTGCTAAACATATGGTAATACTCGGGAGTTCCAGCCTCACTCATCACTTAATGTAACAAATACTGGTGTGTATGACATAGTAAGGTGTAACATGTTTGTTTCATTGTCATTACTTATTGTTGGAAAGCATTGCAAAGTAGCATTGGTAATGTCACTGGACTTAAACCATTAACACTGTTTTGTGTCCACCCGCTGAGTTTCTCCAACAATTTCAGGTTTTGCTTGTGTCAAATCTCCAGCATCCACAGTTCTTTATTTTATTATCTTGGTAAAATCTTCTTTGCCTTGCCTTCTAGTGATTAGCCTTGGCTCAGTGGCAGCGTTCTTGTTGCTGAACATGAGTTCAAGGATTACTCAACAAGACTTGAGCAAATACCCCTAGGCCTCTGTTTCACTTTTAGGCTGGAATGGTATTGTATTTTGGATAAGCTGTTAAGCTGAGCCTTTCAGGTGGACATGGAAGATCCTACAGGGAAAAGCAAGGGAGTTCCCAGGATAGCTAGCCAACACTTATTGCTCAGTCAACACTCACAGTGGATGATCTGGTCATTTATTTAACTGTTGTTTGTGGAGCTCACTGTGCACAATGTAGTCTACTGCATTGGCAACAGTGACTACAAGTCAAAAGTATTTAATTGGCCATAAAGTGCTTTTGGGCATCACAGGGTTATGAAATGTACAATATAAGCAAGTTCTTTCTTTCCTTCTTTGTAAGAATATTTTTCTTCCATTTGGTTTGGCATAGTTTTTGTCTTTATAACTTCATGTGTCGATAGTGTTACCATTTTCTTGTGTTTCGTATTTCCCTGGGGGAGGGAGGGGGAAGAAAGAAGGCATTTCTGCTTTCCACAATGAAACTGGATATTTCCACATGGATGTTTTGTGTTGAGTTTGTGCAGCTGCTGAGTACAGAACCTAAGCTAACACTGGTGCAGCAATGTCACTGAAGTGTTAGACCAAGGCACTGTCTACAGGTGGCTTCAACAGAAATTTCAATGGGGCACAAAGAGGAGCAAGACCTTTCTCTTTGGTACCCCAGCCAACATTCACCTCTCAAACACCACCACCACTTAATAATCAAATTAATTGCATCTCTGTGGGCTTTAGATATAGCTATGTACAAAATTAACTGCCGCATTTTACTGCCTTTACTTCAGGAGTATTTTTTTGTTTAATCTGTGTAATGAGTCATAGAGATGTATAGCATGGAAACTGACCCTTGTGTCCAGCTCATCCATGCTGACCAGATATCCTAAAACAATCTAGTCCCATTTGACAGCATTTGGCCCATATCCCTCAAATCCCTTCCTATTCATATACCCATCCGGATGCCTTTTAAATGTTGTAATTGTACCAGCCTCCACCACTTCTTGTGGCAGCTCATTCTATACACACACCATCTTCTGTGTGAAAAAGTTGCCCCATAGGTCCATTTTAAATCCTTTCCCTCTCACCCTAAACTTATGGCGCCTCATTTTGGACTCCCCTACCTTGGGGAAAAGACCTTGTCTATTCATCCTATCCATGCCCCTCATGATTTTATAAACCTCTAAGGTCACCACTCAGCCTCCAACGCTCCAGGGAAAATAGGCCCAGCATATTCAGCCTCTCCACACAGCTCAAACCCTCCAACCCGGCAATATCCTTGTAAATCTTTTCTGAACCCTTTCAAGTTTCACAGCATCCTTCCTATGGGGCTTTGGTATGAAATTCTTCATAAACCTTGGTTTTATATTTCTGTAGCACAAGACATATATTCTTTTTGTCTCCACATCTCTCTGCCTCTCATGCTCGTAGTTTGCACCAGGAGTCAGCTGGTTTGGAGAAATGGTGGCACAGTGGTAATTTTTTTGGCATTGTAATCCAGGGACCTACACAAATGCTATCAGGCTGGGTTCAAATCCCACACAGCAGCAAATGAAATTTTAGTTCCATGGGTATGTTTGGGATATAATGCTAGTCTCCATAATGACTATAATTACAATCAGTTGTTGTAGCAACCCATCTGGTTCCCTAAAGTCCTTTAGGGAGGGAAGTCTGCCATCCTTATTTGACCTACACGTGACTCCAGTTGACTGCTAATTGCTCTCTCATATAGCAAAGCAAGCTGAACAGCTGAAGTGTAATAAAGAATGGGCCATAAATACCGACCTTGAATGCGATTCCCATATCCCATTAAACAATAAAGGAGAATAATATCAGAGGTACTCTGATCAAGGTCAACCCAACCAAGACAAGATGTAGTACTAGATAAGTTTAATGTTCCCTTTATATAACGTGCATCGGTTTTCCCTGAAACCAGTGATTCGAACTTTAGCATGTAAGTGAAGCTCCTGAGGTCTTCAATTCCTAACTAATTTAGACAGATTTGCCTAAGTGAGCAGTGGCCCCCTCCAACTCAATTTTATTTCATCCTC